CAGTCCACTGTTAGGTTAATTGGCTTCTCTAAATTCTCCCGGGGTCTGAGTGTGAATGGTTGTTTTTCCTGTTTGTCTCTGTGTTGCCCTGCTATTTACTGGCGACCTGTCCAGGATGTACCCCGCCTCTCTCTCACAATTTGATAATCTATAGAAACAAATTAGAACCTTTGGTGCTGGAGCCCGAGCAATTAATCACTGTTTTTTATTGTCAAATAGGTTTAATTTGGACCTCTGCCTACTTTCCTCCACTGCTCCATTACTTTGGTTATTCTTAGCATAACAAACAATGTTTGTAAATGTCTATGTTACTGTAAATGCCACCTTTTACTTCTGATATTAGGAATCTTTTAATGTGTTGTGATATTAGCACATTTTTATAAACTACTTGACAGGATGAACGCTTGTAGAAACAGTTAAAAATCATCAGCTACAATGGCTCACAGAGGAACTGTGCACCACAACACATGCATGTAAACAGACTGTTCGCCATTTGTTATCCATCTGATTTGGCTGATCAGACCAATAACAGGCTGATTGTAATATACAATATAAAATGCAGTTATTCTTACGGACTACTATGTAGGATTTTGTTGTACAGTGGAAAATAATTACTGTGTAACAAAAAGAAAGTGTTAGTCTGATGAGGGAAAAAAGCTCCAGGCAATATGGCTGCAGGTTTAAAATTCCCGCATTTTAACAGTGTTGAAAACATTTCTTTCTGAAACTGTCCTATCAACGTATTAACAGCATGATTCAAATGGCAGCAAAGCAGTTACACTGAAAGAAAAAAACAATTTTGTACATTTCAAGACTAACTTCACCAATATGCGATGATGATTTATTACCAGATACTGTTGATATAAGTGCAATAAACTATGATTTTCTTTTTTACTTACATTTCTCTTTGTTTGTTACCAATTTCATATAATTGTTTTCTGTGTTTCTATAGTTTAAAAAAAAGTGATGTACCGTTTGTTCATATTTAATGCTGTACTGATGCTGGGTGAGAGATTAAAAACCACTTTGGCAAATTTAAAATTTCAAAACTACAGTAATCTCTCAATATTTAGATTTTTCTTCTGAAGAGCCAGACTTTTTTATTAGCTTGTAAAACGGTCTTGATAAATTGGCAATTTACAAATGGCATTAGGATCCAGGCAGAGGTGTTGTGGTTGAACTTGTACTGCTTCGTCAATTGCTATAGATATCAGACAAGGGATGGTTCAACTCCTCGGGCCTGTGTCTGGAAGGTGATTTGAATGTCTGAAGAAAAACTAATTACAGTATCCGAAGGTTCTGTCTCATCACTGCATTTACGTATTGAGATATAATTTAGACTAAGTTACAAAAACAAGCATCAGAATGGTGATAATTCAATTCATTGATACAGAACCAATTCACAACACTTCTGAGTTACACATTATTAAGTCAATTCCATTAAGTCAAACTGAGCATGCATTTATTGTCAGTGTCTTCCTTTTCTCAAGAACCAGGCTCAGTGTGAAATGCCTTTATGACAGAAGACCCAGAACTACTCTAGTAAAACGTTATTGTCAGTAGTTGCTTGTTTTCTCTTGGTGAGGGAGTTGATGTACATCACCATCTGGTACGCTGGTGCTACCGCCAAGGGCAAGGGCAGACTGCAGAGTGTCATCCAGTCTGCAGAGAAGGTGATTGGCTTCCATCTCTCCAGGATCTGTACGCCTCCAGGACTCTGAGGCCTGCAGGGAAGATTGTGGCTGATCCCTCGCACCCAAGCCACCATCTATTTTAGACACTTACTTCTGGAAGGAGGCGGTGGTCCATCAGGACCAAAACCTCACGCCACAAGAACAGTTTCTTCCCATCCGCAACCCTTATCAACAAGGCTCCGAGACCACCATGACACTAATACTGCTTCTCTACACCAACGTAGCATCTTCAGACCTCCTGGTTTACATTAACGCACAGCCTACTGTGTATATAGTATATACTGTAGCTATAATCTATAGCATATAGTATATTGTATGTTTTATTGTGTATATAACTGTCATTTATTGTGTAGAATACTGGAAAGGGCCATTTTGAATGGCTGCTAATGCATATTCTGTATATATATCAATTTTATCTGCATCATTAATACCAAGTCAAATTCTTTGTAAGTGCAAACCTATTTGGCAATAATTCTAATTCCGATTCTGATTTTTTTTTTTTTTTTTTTTTTTTTTTTTGCTGCTTCAAAGAGAGAATAGGTAGGCAAGCTCTGAGAAAAATTTCTTCATATGAGAAGAGATTAAAATGATTTTAAACAGGACGTAGTTATCAGACCAGTAAGTCTGAGGATATCAGAATTTCACACAATGAAGTCCAGATGGGGGAGAATGAATTGCAGAAAATAGATTTTTTGAAAAGAAATCACAAGAAGAAAAACACACAACAAAAGCAACAAATCCGTCCTACTATGTCAGCAGGTCAAGGATTGTTGGTAATATTATAGAGAGTGGTATTCTGGAAAGTATTGGGCTGCCTATTATCAATTGATCATAATCTTGTTGTTGGCCATGTCCATCCATTTACAATGGACACAAGATTGAGAACTATTGAAAAATAAACCTAATTCTTTCCAGTTTAATGGCTAATTGTGAGTTGTTTCTATTTATAAAACAGTTGAACTGTATCATTGCCATGCAACAAATAGAGGACGAACAAGAAAAAGGTTTTAATCTTCGCTTTTATTCTGACTGGATTACTGCTTGTAATCTGAGCGGAAACCTCGCAGTCATCAACTTCCGGTGTCAGGGGCTGTCTGGGAGACGGAGCAGAAAAAGCGGGCATAGAGAAACCTTTATTGTTTTGTCTAGGGTTAAACACCCTTAAAGCTTTCTTTTTTTTGTTTAGAAAGTCAAACAGCTTCCGTTTGTAAAACGTTAATCCACCGGGAATCGCATTCGCTCGGGAAATAATCTCATTCATTCGTCCGTAGCAGTAGGCCCATTCTTCTGGACTTTGCTACAAGCTAGTGTGCTAACATTAGCAGGCTAATCTGGATGAGCACGTTTTTCTTTCTCAAGCATCCATGTCTGTTACGTTGTAAATACACACCACGGTGCTTATGTGTGTACTTGTGATTAATTATTGGTGATTCGTCGCAAAATAAAATACTTATTAAAGCCGACTCGTCGAAGCTAAATAGAGCTAACCGCTTGCATTTAAAAGTGTAGCTCGCTTTGTTGCTAGCTTTAGCTAGCCACTAAACAACGCAGTCTCAGAGAGCCTAGCAGGCTTCCGCCCAGAGATGTCGGACTACGACGAGTTCGAGAGACAACTGTCTGAAAACAAACAAGGTAAATACATCGCACATACATAACCAGAAGGAGGACATATTTGTTTTATAGATTTAAACATCCTCCATCAGTATTAACAACAATGGATGCGTCTATTTACAGGACGCTGAAAGGCTTTTCATTGTCACGCAGTCACAAAGCCACTTTAAGTGTAAAGCAGCGCCACCATTTCTCTTAAACTAGTTTTATTCACTTTTAATTATTTTCCAAAAGGAGCCTTTTAAAAACTGAATTTCAGTGTTTTTTTTTTTAACTTAACTCACCGTATATTAACCTCACACTAGCACGCATTAGCTGCAGTTCAGTTAATGAACCTATCCTTTTTTATTTTCATATCACATTTAACGTATGCAAAAACATGTTGGTCATATGGTTCATGTTTATTCTTCGAAAAATTATTGTATCTTTCTTTTTTATATTGTTTCCAGATCTGAAGAGTTTGAGAACTTGATCGTATTTGCAGATTTATTTCCATTTCCAGAAGATTTTATATTGATGATTTATATTCAATTTACATCTCATTCTTATTTGCTTACCACTCTGGGTTTATTATATGTAGGTAGGTATTTTGGCAAAAAGTGAAGTCCATATAATTGTATCTCTAAGACCTGTAGAAAACATTTCACATGCTTCTAAGACCATGTGTTTGCAGGTAGGTTACAGTTTAAGACCATTATGGTCTTACACTGCTGAAAGTATGATGGAGGAACTTTAAGATTGCTTGTATTAAAAGTCTGCCTCATTATTGTAGAATTTAATAATACTGTACCATTTAACAAAGATACTCTGCTCATATTGTTCTTCAGTTTGAAGTTTAAAACTATTTTACCTGCTAGTTTGGTGGTTCAGCACACCCTTTTGTATTAAATCGATATTTAATATTTAGTTTAAAGTTAGCTGGTATAAGGAACTAAGAGAAAGTTTAGTTCGATTGCTAAAAAAAAGGTCTTCTTCGGCTCTGTTATGTATGGTGGTATATCAGATTATAAGCTACCATCCAATATGTAATTTTGACAGTGTCATTTAAATCTTTGTAACTCTTACAAATATTTGCAATTTTGAAATAAAATAAGAATGTTGATTTAGCTTTAAAAATATCCCACCAGCAAGGCCAAATGGTTATCAGAGGGGCGTTATATCACTTTGTTTGCGACAACATTCACAGTTATGTTATGATTCTATGGGAATTTTGAGCATTATAAATGTTCATAATCAGTTTTATTTATAACATCAGAGATTTTCCTTCTAGCCTTCAACAAATAAAACCTAATTATAGCCTTTTTAACATAGAAATATTTCTATAGGCAGGTTTTGATTCACTCTCCCTTCCCTCTCTTATTTCTACTGGTTTTAATTTAGTGCTCTCTAGATCACAGACTTTGAAGAGTGTGCGTTTTCAATTCAGTTAAAAATTACTTAAATCTAGATTTAGATGAAGTGAAACCTTTCGACCCGTGTTCTTTCCCAAACTTATTGCATTGCAGAATGGAACAGTGTGCCCTTACATTTTTGCCAATATGTTGTTGGATAGTTGTAACAAAATATAGTGGGATTTATAACAATTTTAATTTGAGTTAATTTTTGCTTATTATTTTTTTTACTGCACTCGTTCTTGTAAAGAAATGATCACATAGCTTTTGCCAGATTCTCTGTCTTGCCTGCATGTCCGAGGAAGAGAAGGTTCGCAATTTGATTTCAAGGTTTAAAAAAAAAAAAAAAAAAGAATCTCCAGAGATTGTGCTCAAATAAGCCTATAAGGTATATAACATAAAACGGCCACCATTTCCCAGTATGTGTTTATGGTTATATAACAAACTCTCATTTACTTGGCAGCTGGCCTGTCCCTGCAGCCAGTTATTTCTCTCTCTTATGAATAAACTGTAAAAATGCATCGCATATTACACTTGGTGTGTTTTGCTTTTTCGCATTACTTTTTTTTTTTGAGTAAATTAACATGGTTGCAATTTTTTTTTTATTTTTTCAAATGTAAAATACAAAGTAGATGTCATTCATGTAACTTCCTCCCAAAGCTAATTTGCAACACTTGAACAGAAAACAAACTTGGATTAAATACAGTGTATATGAATGGAAGACTGAAATGGAGATAAACTCTCTAAAAAAATAATTAATAATAGTCAAAATAGAAACCATGCAGCCATGACAAAAATACAAAAACGAATAACTACTTGTTTCTGATTAAAAACAGTTATTTGTTTGTGGATAGAGAATGTAGATTATAGATCCGTTTTCTCACTAATCATCTAAAGTGAGTTAAAGTCCTGAGATTGTTGGCTGTCTTTCCTGTTCAAATGTAATGCAGACATGTTGGTTTACAACCTCTCATTTCCACAGCTGAAAGGGACAAAGAGAACCGCCACCACCGCCGCTCCTCGTCCCGCAGCCGCAGCAGAGAGAGGAAAAGGAGGAGCAGAGACAGGGACAGACGCAGCAGGGACCGCCGTGGAGACAGTAAGGAGCGGAGACACAGGCGCAGGTTGGTATCGGCGTTTAGTGACACCATAGGATTTCTGTTTTAACTCTACACCTGCTTTGGTGTGAATGTTGATCAGATTGACCTGCTCAAACATCGAAGGTATTAAGGAAACATGGGAAACAGTGGCGCTTGGTTAGATTTGCTAAAAAAGAAAACACCCAAACCAACAACTGGTGTCTTTAACCCTTTGAATATTAAATTATCATGAGGATCTTATAACCAATAAATTCTTAAACATTTCCACAGTATTTGATTATTTACCTGTTTAGTGGTGTAGAAGATATTAGCTGTCGTTGGAACATGTCGTTTTCTGCATTTTTAATGTTAAACCTTTTTTCTTATTTTTTTGTTTTGCTTTGGGAAGTTTTTCACGCAGCTGTAAGTTCACGTTTGGTTGAACAGCATCTGTCATACAGGGGACAAAAATCCATCTGTTGTGAAAGATGCAATGATCAAATTTATTTTCAAGTTTTTCCATGAGGGTTTTTATGCTCCTATTGCTGAAACAATCAAAATTAATGTTATTAATCCAATTCTGTAATAATCGACACCTAATTTTGTAATTGATTAATCATTAACTGGAGTATAGTCACAAAACTTGCCTTTAACTGACAGAGCAACCCACTTGGAGAAGCAATTATACCAACATAATTATATATATATATATATATATATATATAAATATACATACATTTTGCATGTAAGTAAAAAAAAAAACAACTGTCAGTTTGCTCTTTCCCGAACTCCTCAAGTGGAAAAGTTTTAGTTTCATAAAATGTCTTCTTTGGCTCTCTGATTATTAATCTAAAAAATAATACAGATTAATCGATCTGCAAAATTATTGTTGGTTGCAGCCCTCTCCTGTTGGTAATCTTGTTACTATTATTTTTTTTTTTTATTGATACTGCAGTGCAAAACAGTTGTGATAATTGTGTGTCAGCAGGTTTACCTTTAGGTTCCATTTTGTAAATCAGAAAATTAAGACTATTGAGTCATAATTTACGGGGATCTGAAAAAGGGCACGGGTTGATATTTTAAGCTCCTAAACCAAGAGAAGTGATTGTTGTGCTCGGTGAGCAGAAAACTGCCAATACAACTCTTGTTGTAGATATGACAAGATTGTGTTTGCTCCTCTTTCATGGGGGAATGAAATTTGCATTTAGCTTAAGAAAAAAGGCCTCATATACTTTAACTCTTAGCTAAAAAAAAAATCCTGCACCTCATATTGGCGGTCATGTTGAGCATTTTCTCAACTATTTTCTTTCGGGTTATTGTAAGATCTTGTATTCAAGTGTTAAGTTCTGGTGAATGGCATGGTTAATAGGAGTGGAATTTTGTGACGTGTAAATGTTAACAGTTGATTTGATGTTAAGAGAAATGTCAATCCCTTCCAATGTCATTTCAGCTCACCATCCAGCTACCCTCAGGACAAAGCTGGAAGGTAATACAGCAAACTAACACAAAGCTGGTTTGTGAATTGATGCAACAATTGTCTGTTTACAGACATTTTACAGTTTTAAAAGTAATTGACCAGATGGGGGTCTGCTACCACTCCTTTTTGTTTTATTTCAGTATATGTTTTAATGGATGCTAATTCTGATTTTGTATATTTCAGAAAATACAAACTAATGCTGCTGTAGTGGTCTCTTGGTTACTCTACATAAAGTTTAGTTCAATTTGATAATGTTTGTAACGGTCTGCCTCCTGTTTTCCCTACAGCCGTTCTCCCCATCGTGAGAAGAAGAAGAAGGTGAAGAAGTACTGGGATGTCCCTCCACCTGGTTTTGAACATATTACTCCCATGCAGTACAAAGCCATGCAAGGTGCCTCTTTCCCTCAATCCATATATATTTCATCTTCTTAGTTAAACTTACTGTCAGTCTGGGTGAAAAAAGCAAAGTTTATTCAGTAGTAGTACAATTTAAATAGTATTTTACAATATTTTCCTCCCTATTTTCTTCCAAGTTGAGTAGTTGTACCCTTCTGTCCCTTTTTTTTTTTTTTTTAAATCCATAAAGCCATTCATTGATAACGGGATTTTAAAACGGATTATTCTAAAACTGTTGTAGGGACACTTTAATGCAAACATGGATGAAATGATGACATGGAGAAATGTGTGTAGATTTTAAAACACTTTATTTATTTCCAAGCCGCCGGGCAAATCCCAGCCACAGCCCTCCTGCCTACCATGACCCCAGATGGCCTGGCTGTTACTCCCACCCCTGTCCCCGTGGTGGGCAGTCAGATGACCCGTCAAGCTCGCCGTCTCTATGTGGGCAACATCCCATTTGGCATTACAGAGGTGAAAACTTCCTCCCAACAATGCATTTTTAAAGCATTTACCTTTTAAATAAAATTGAAACATTGGATGGATTATTTGATCGTCTCTCTCTCTCTCCCATGCAGGAGTCTATGATGGACTTTTTTAATGCCCAGATGCGTTTGGGGGGTCTCACTCAGGCCCCTGGAAATCCTGTCCTTGCTGTTCAGATCAACCAGGATAAGAACTTTGCCTTCCTGGAGGTGAGATCATTCTACAGGGACCATCATTTGTGATTACTTCATATAAACCAACCCCGGTTTGTTGATGTTACTTTTTAGTTCAATCACCTGTAATTATGTCTGTGCAGTTCCGTTCAGTGGATGAAACAACGCAGGCGATGGCCTTTGATGGCATCATCTTTCAAGGCCAGAGTCTCAAAATCCGTCGTCCCCATGATTACCAGCCCCTGCCTGGCATGAGCGAGAACCCCAGTGTCTATGTGCCGGGTACACAGACAATTAATGGTTTTTAACCTCAGTTGCTTGTCACAATTCATAATATTCATTAAAATTACATCAGTATTGCAATGATCCGTAACCTTCTGATTTGATGTATTCTGCTCTAATCCTTGTACATGATGCAGGTGTGGTGTCCACAGTGGTGCCAGATTCGGCTCACAAGCTCTTCATAGGGGGTTTGCCGAACTACCTGAATGATGACCAGGTTTGTGTTTTGCCTTTAAACTGATTATTTCCTGTTTTTTTAACACATCTGTTTTTTTGTTTAGCATTCACAAGCCTTTAAAAGTTGGAGATTAACTACATCCAAGATTCTAGTCAAAGATGATGGAAACATGAGGACTTAGTGTAATGTCTTTGATATATTTGATCTCTAACCAACACATCTGTCTTCCAGGTGAAGGAGCTGTTGACATCATTTGGCCCTCTGAAGGCTTTCAACCTGGTGAAAGACAGTGCCACAGGACTATCTAAAGGATATGCTTTCTGTGAATATGTTGATGTCAACTTGAATGATCAGGTAACTGATCCCCGAAACAGAAAATGTACATCAGTGGTCTGTTTGTCAGGAGAATATGAGTAATCGTTGGTATCCTTGTAGGCTATTGCTGGACTCAACGGCATGCAGTTGGGTGACAAGAAGCTCCTGGTGCAAAGAGCCAGCGTGGGATCCAAAAACGCCACTCTGGTGAGTTTTCAGCTGCTTGACAGATGACAGCAGGGAGGTGGGAGGATTGAGGCTGTTTCAAGTCAAATAAAGACAATTTTTTTGTTTTACAAGGGATCTTCTTCAGCTGCACATCTTTCAGAAATGGCAGCTAGTAAATGCGAAAGTCATTCATTAGTTATGAGTGTTTTTTTTGTTTGTTTTTCTGGTAAGGTTTTGTGTTTAGGTGATGAGGATTAAACCAGTCCTAGTAGAAAAAAAATCACGATAATGCTGCCTAAATTCATTAGAGAAAAACTTCTGATCCATGTATAACTTTTACAACAAAAATCAAGGCATTATCTTGGTATAAAAGATTTCATCCAATTAATTCCCAAACGGTTTTGAATCAATTTTTTTGTGGTAGTGAATTATTTTATTACAATGCATGTATCAGGACCCCTTATTCTGAATTGTACTTTATTTGCCTTACTTTTCCCAAGCCTGACCTCCTGTCTGACTTAGCAGATCTACCAAAATGTAGGGATTCTGCTCTGTTATCTATCAAAGGAAGGAATCTCAATCATGCATCAGGGCAATGGTTCCAACCAAATCAGCTGCATTGACTAGAATGGGTTTTAACTAGCTAATAAATTTATGAACCCAGATTTACACTGAAACCAGTGCGCTGGGAAAACAAATGGGCGCTGCTCTTTTGAGCTTGTTTTATTTGCTGCCCTCCTTCTGTTTAGCAGAATAATAATTGAAATGCTTCATTGTAGGATGTTCAAACAATAATGAAGGTTATAAATTCTGCAGTAATATTTCTCCAAAGCAACTGTTTATGTTTACCAAAAAATAAAAACCCCAAAACATGCCTGAAATTCTAAACATGGGGAACTGTTTCTTCCACAGGGAAGTTTAGTCATGTTCAGTTTTCATGGCTTCAGAATGATTGGGCAACATATGAAAATTGCATCCCTTAGCTCAAAATGTAGGGCAGGTTTTTAGATTGGTTGCAGTTAAGCAGAGTTAGCATCTCTTGTTACGCTGGCTATTCAGATGAAGTGGCTGTCATCACCAACATGTTTATTACATACAATTAAATAAAATAAAATATTTTTTTCTCTAAAAACAGGAAATTTACCTTTTATTCATTTTATTTCAAAGTACTCTGCTCCATCCAGTATTCCAAGTATTTTCTCTTCATAGTCCTTGCTAACCTGTACATCCAGTCTGCAGGTAGTGTTCTATTTTATTTATTTAGTTTTTTTTTTGTGTGAAAATCTTTAATAGTGAACATACTGGTGTTCAAATATGCAACGGAAGGGATTTTCATGATTCAATTTAGGTTATTTATGTAGTGCCAATTCACAACAAATGTCATCTCAAGGCAGTTTACAGTTCACCAGATGATACAGTCAAAATGATTCAAAGTTTTCTAT